TTTAGAGGTCAGTGGATTTCAAAGCTCCAAAACTTGGGTGCAGAAATTGCAAACTCACCACCATCCTGTTTCTGCCTTACCCTCTGGAGCTTACAGGTACACTCTTTGGGGATGACTGAAATGGGAACTGTTTACAAGAGTATTTTCAGCAGACATGTGTTTAGTGATTAGTATTGGGCAGTCCTAAAGCAAATGTGGGTAGATTCCCATAGACTCCTGGGACTGCATCTCCAATTGACAGTACAAAATCCTCACTTCAAATGATGTTCATTGTGGATAGACAAGGAGAGAGTTCTATGCAGCTGGCAGAATGGGCAGATGTAGTTCCCCTGCCCCTTCTCTTTCCTCTTTCTCTGTCTCATATCTGTTTTTCGGCCAGCAGGTTTCCTTCAGCATTCAATCAAGGGCAATATGTCCTCAATCAACATTTTTCATTTTTTATGCAACACTGTCCTTTAAAGCTTTTTGCAGCTGGGTTGGCAACTGAATTGCTGCCAATAACCTCTGAGAGCTTCCCCGTGTGTGCATATCACTGCGTTCCCAGAGATCTCCGAGTACCCTGGAGGCAACTTGACTTGAGTGCATCTGAGCCTGTCCCCAGGCTGTGCAGGCTCAAAGCTGACTAGTTCCCTGAGTCCTGTCAAGCGGTGAGGCCAACACAGGGCAATCAGCATGCAGTGGAATAAAGACAGGAACTGGGGCCCATTTCTCCAGAACAAGAGATAATCTAGTGTCTCATTTCAGAGATACAATAAAGGAGTATTTCTGATGAAGAGGAAGAACTGGGAAAGGAGGAGTCAGGAGACCTCAAAGTTCTTGGTGCTGTGTTAACTAGTAAATTGAACTGATTTGAGTTGATATTAGGGTTCTCTGGAGAAATAGAACTGAAGATGAACATGTATTAAAAGCAGATTGCAGATTGGCATGCAACAATGTGGTCTTGTAGTCCAACAGTGGCTGTCTTCACACCGGAGAGGTTGAGAACCAGTAACTATAAGTCCACAAGTCTGTATGCCTCAGCAGATGCCAATCCGGAGTTGAAGGTCTGAAGGATTCCTGGAGAGCCACACTCAGCCACACAGGATGCTCATCTGTGAAATGAAGGTAACAACAGTGACTGCAGCAGGCTCACAGGGCGGAGGGAGTGGGGTGCAGGCTGAGCCCTTGGTCACTTGTGATGCCAGCACTCTCTCTACTACTCCCATTTGTTTTCAGCCTGTTCTTACAGATTTAAAGTTCTTCAGAAGAAAAGTGTGATTGCTTCAACAAACCATAACTTACTGATTGCATCTAAAGTCACTTGGAATTTACTAAGATAGCTAATGTTTAAAGAATCATCTAAATCTCTCATTGTGCTTGAGTAAGAAAATCACCAGAATGTACAAGACATGAAATTCTCTACTTGAAAGACTATCAGTCCAAATTCGATTCTATCCAAGGAGTTTCAAAATGCTGATAACATGTGAGATAGGAAGGTGTTTTAGAAAATGCTCAGCTTAATGTTAGCTTCTTAGCTTCTTATGGTGACCCTGAGCCTTACTCTGTAGACTAGATTGAAATACTTTAACTTTGGTATTGATGGAAATCATGCTGAATTAAGGACCAAGAGATCTATCTCGCCAACTGTAAGAACTGCAGCACTCTCTCACTTTCTGATTTCCAGATTTTCCGTTCATCTACCGAGTAAGTGATTTCAACTCCATGTAGTAGGTACAGTTTTCAGTGAAGACTGACTTCACAATCTTTAAGAGATTTAACATTAAAAGACAGAAATAAATATTATTAAAGATGAGATTTAAAGCCATAAAGTTAGATTAGTTTTGCTTTGGTCACTACAATATTTAATATATTCTATGTACAAATAAAGAGGAGCTGTGCCTGAGTCAACAGGGATACCAAGAGCCAACTGTGCCATGAATTCTCTGAGAGGCACGGAAATTTTTAAGCAAAAAGAAAATAAAAGGTATGTCTGTTAAATATCCAAGAAGGTTAGTTCCACCATTCTGGCATTTTTAATTACTGTGTGTCTTGCAGATAAAT